CTATGATTGGTAGCTCGGGAGCTGGAGCCGATCCCGTTCCCTACAAGGAATTGACAGCTGATAAATTAGCTGAAGGTATCAAGCAGTGTTTGACGGATGAAGCAAGAGAAGCGGTAGAGAAAATTGCCAAGGGTATTGAAGCTGAAGGTGATGGTGCAGAAAATGCAGTCAAGTCATTTCATCGAAGTCTTACTCTTCGAGGCGAACATTCTATGCGTTGTTCTATTCTCGAAGATCGAGTGGCGGTTTGGACCATGAAAGGTACTAATTTACGATTAAGCGCATTGGCTGCTGAACTTTTGGTCGAGAGGAAGCAAATTACCTGGAAACAGTTAAGACTCATCAGACATCATGAGTGGAATGATTTCGAAGGACCAGGTGAGCCTATTAGTGGTGTCACAACAGCTGTTACAGGTACGGTCACGGGGATTGCCACCGGCGTGGGTGGTATACCATTCAAGGTCAGAAAGACGATAAAAAGGAGAAGTATGCATGAAGAAAGGAAGAAGAGGAAATCGGAAGAAATACGGAAAAGTGGAAGTGGAAGTACTCTTAACGAGAAGAAAGCAAGTTCTCGAAAGAGTGGCGATAGTACTACACTAAACAATCAGGCGATACAAGAGGAAAATCATCAAAAAAAGAACGGTGATCCAAACAAAAATACCGAAAATACAAATTCATCGCCACAAGCACAAAATACGAGTCCCCAGGCAGCCTTAGATTCATCAACCAATGCTGGCATGGCGAATCATACCACAAGTGGTGAACCAACTCGCCAATGTAGCCAAGCTAATCGTGAAGAACAAAATTTACAAGCCGCTGATAACATTGAGGATCAATCTATGCTCTCACGTGGATCCACTACAAACGAAGCCGAAGCAGTAGCTAAAGAAATTGGTTATGGTTTTGGGAGAACAGCGGAAGCAGTAGCTCGCGCACCTATGGATCTAGCACTCGCCCTCGCTCAAGGGTTTCACAATGCTCCTCGCCTATATGGTGACACTACAGTGCGTCGTCCAACTCGAATTACAGGTATGAAGAGCGGATTGAAGGCAGCTGGAGAAGAATTTATCTTTGGCATTTACGATGGTGTAACAGGTTTAGTAGTGCAACCTTATACTGGAGCTCGGGATCACGGCGCATTAGGATTTGTAAAAGGAGTAGGAATGGGTCTTACCGGGTTCGTATTGAAGGATATCAGTGCCATCATAGGACCATTCGGCTACACATTAAAAGGCGTGCACAAAGAACTAGTCAAAAGCAAACAGCCCACCGCTTTCATCCGACGAGCCCGAATCCTCCAAGGCCAACGCGATGTAAATCAACTGGCATCCGACCCTAAAGAAAGAGAAGAAATAGAAGAAAGAATCACACATGGCTGGGCCATCGTCCTCCAAGTCTGGAAAATAATGGATGATAAAAAAAGGGGTGCTGGATTGGGGTTTAAGGCTCGCATAAAAGTAATGCGTGAGCGTAAAACATGGCGCACAAATGCCGCATTTGAAGGGGTAGGCGCCGCAGAGCGAGAAATGCTCGCGAGGAAAAATGGGGATGGAAATGGAAGCGTAGAAGATGGTAAAGAACAGGTGTCTGGGAGACGGGAAGGGGAACTGAGGAAAGGAGAGTTGGAAGATGAGAGGATATTGATGGATAAGGAGATTCCTAGGGCGCCGGAGGGGAAGGAGGGTGATGAGGAGGTTCATTTTTTGAATGGACGTGAGGGCGGAGAAGTTGTAGTTAGTTGAGACGGAGGGGATGAAGGGAGGGATAAGATACCTTTGGGAGGGGTTAGTGCATTGATGTTATTTGTCTGTTATGTATTGCTGTTGTGTATTAAGCGAGGCGTTTACTGTAGTTGGGAAGTTGGTACTTGGAGCGAGATTTACGGATTTGTTTGTATGATTGGTATATACTCTATTGAGATTTATATTAGCTGGAATGGGGGCTGCATGGTAGTGCAGAATGCATATACGCGTCAAATTATAATGTTACAAACGAATGATTAATTGCATTTCAGACTTGAGACTCATACTCGAATTAAATTCATGGTAGGTACCTGCGTAGTTACAATTCTTCAGCATAGACCATAAAATCTACAATCTACCATCTCAAATTTTAACCACCCCACCTCCAAGAACCAAAACCACACACACCCTACAAATCCCTCTTCATAAACTCCTCAAACTCCCCCTTATACTCCTCCCTCCACCTACTCAACGCCTGTCTCCCATGCACCAAATCCCCCGCTCCCCAAGCCATCCTCTTCCGATCCATCTCCTCGGTTACATCCCCATCAGGACAAACCACATAAAACATCCCCTCATTCATTTTCGCCACTAAATACTCCACCACCTGATCACTCGACCACGCACCCTTTGGTTTATTTTCCACTCCTGCTCTCTGAACCTCTGATTCCCCTCCTCCTTTCTCATTCTCCTTAACCACAAATGCAGCTCCCCCCGCCATCCCAGTGTACGTCCACCCCGGCACCAAAAGATGTACATTTTTCTCCTCGCCCCTCTTATTCCTCTCTCGCAAATCCCACGATAAATGCTCCGGCGAGCGTTTTCACAGCCGCTTTCGAACAATTATATGCGGGGTTTCCTGGGGGGTTGGTGATTCCTTGTTTCCTCATGAGTATGATGATGGAGGAGGGGGAAGAGTGGGAACCAGCAGTTCAAGAGAGAGTTGATTCCGCTATACGCCGAAGAGGTTTACGGTTAGGATTTTGGAAAAGTAGGTGTGGGAGGTGGGAGTGCCGAAGGTGCCGCGTTGGGAGGTGCCTGCGTTGAGGGCGAGGAGGTGGAGTTTTCCTGGTAGGGGAGATGTTAGTTTGGGTGTGGTTTGGTTTGGTTTCTTCTTCTTTTTTTCCTCCTTGTGCTGCTTGAATAGTAAGACAGACATCACTACAATCAACTCCCAACATCCTCATCCCCACACCCCCCCTCAAAACCCAAAAGAAACCCCCCAAAAGCAAGAATCCCCCCCCCCCTTCCCCTTCAAAAAGATCCAAAAAACTCAAAAAATCAAAAAAAAAAATCTCAGAACGCACCATCAAACTCCCCCTCCACCGTCTCCCTAACCGCATCCCACTCCTCCAAATTCCCCACATCCACCTTCAACCCCACAACCTGCTGATCCCCCGTGATCAACCCCGACAAATACATCTGCGCCTTCCCCAAATCATCCCCATTATTATCTACCACTATAACATTCATACCGTATTTGAGACATTTTTCCGCGAGACTGAGACCGATGCCTGAGGCGCCGCCTGTGATTAGTGCTGTGTTTCCTTTTGTGAAGGAGGGGGGTGCTTGTGTTTGTGTTTGGGTGGTGGACATTTTTGATGGATTTTTTGGGGAGGTGTTTGTGCTTTTGTGAGTGTGAGTGCGAATTTGAGATTGTGTGTATGTAGCTGTAGAGTATTTGTTAATGAATGGAGGTGGAGATTGAGGTTGAGGTTGAGGTTGAGGTTGAGGTTGTAAAGGACCCGAGTTTACTATATTCAAAGAGTGATTAATCTTCTGAAACTCTATCCTCGTCTGTAGGAGAGAGGAAGAACGAAAAAAGGTTGGAGAGGAATAGAATCTTGAGTTTTTGATCGCGGATGGAAGAGATAAGGAGCTCTTCATTTGTTTGTATGCTTATGAACTTTTATGAAAGGAAGGAAGGAGAGAAGGAAGGATATATATGTTATTATATTAAAAAGCACTCTAAGGAAGGGCGTGAATGAGGGGTTGAGCTCGGCTGCAGTGTGACGTACGAACAGGGGTAGCTAGGAGTATTACCAATCAATTTTTTCTAATGACCAATTGGCTCCGGATCTCCTTGAAGCAGTGGAATATTCTGACTGTTGTCTGAATGTAAAAACTTTTGCCCTGCTGATAATTATTCTCTTTTTTCATTTTAGTCCCCTATCTTTGCCGATCCCCAACTGTATCCGTATAATAACTATTACACATCAGCGGTCTTTTCTTCCCTTAATTCCTAACTCCCTCCAATCATCTTGATATCATAGTTAAAACCAAAACCCCCATCTCAATCCCATACCATCCTATCCTATCCTATCCTAACCTATACTGCCCTGACTTTACCCGTACTAATCATCAAAGCAGCAAGTTCCTTAACATTATTACTTCCCCAAACACCATCCGCACCACCCTTTCTCCATTCATCACTCGTAGCATCTTCTCCACCACCTCTCATTCCATCCCCAGCAATGATCTCCAAATCTCTCTTTTGAGAACTAATCCATTTTCTAATAAACTCGGTAGGATTTTTGGAAAGACCATCAAAGAATGAATGTTTTGATTTGGAATTGGCAATGGCTCGGACCATGACCGCCAGCTGTTTATCTAGAGTTGAAAGTTCAAGTAGGTTGGCAGCGTAAGCGGGGTTTCTGGTGGAGGCTTCGAGGGCGGCTTTCAGAGGGTCCTCAACGGTTACTTGAACATCGTAGATGGTTGGTTGAGGATTTTCGTGGAATTCTTTGTCTACGCGGACGGTGTAATGAAGCCGCACTGGCTGAAGAATTGTTGTGTGAGATATGATGGCATCACCAAGTTGGGGCCAATATCCTTTTTCTCGACCTGGGAAAAGCTATGTTTGGTTAGTATAGTACAATTAGAGAGATTAATCCATCAGCATACCGGTTTAAGTCTCTCGTCAAGCTCAAAAGTTCTCTTCTCATCATCGTCTGCAAGTCCCATAGCTTTGATATAACTCCAAATACCCATGGTAACTTCCTCACGAGTACCAACATTAGTATCTAAGATAGCTGCGAGAACAGGACTTAATTGAAATCTTTCGGGTGTCTCATCGCGAACCAGGTTAATGACAATATTGCAATTTTCATCGCCTGACCTCTTGAACTCCAATTGGTCAAAGTCTGCAGCTGCTGGCAGGCTATTGGAATTTGGCGCGACGCTAGGTTTCTTCCACTCCACGCTCTGATCCGCCCCATCTTTTGTTCGTTGATTTCGGTCGAAGTCAACTGTCATAGATTTAAAGAAATGTGACAATTTGTAAAGTCTTCCCGGACCCTTCGTCTTCTTCTTCTTATCCACATCCATAGAATCAGCTCCATGTTCCTCGGTTGCATCTTCGTCGTCACTTTCATCACTATCATCCTCATCGTCATCCAGTAATCTTCCCTCGATCTTGACCCGGAACGAAGAGTCGATATTCGTGCTGAAATCAAAAGCATCCACATCCAGAGTATTATCCGACTGCCAAGGCTGATCTTCGACCGTATTACTGATCCAAATTCTCAAAGTTCGATGTCTCTATAAACAATCAGCGTTGCTCGGATTTTCTATACCTTCAATAACAAACCTTAACATTCCTATCCACATTTTCCCGAATATCCAATCTCTTTCTCGTCATTGTCGCATCCAACCTTCTCTCAATATCTCTTAGCTCTCTATATCTCTGCACACCATCCCCAATAATCACATCCTCTACGCCATCTGGTATATTTTTATCTGTAGGTTCGCTCGCTCGCTTCTTTGCCGCTTCTTTTTGCTTTAGAAGCTGTTGTTGCTGCTGTTGATATTGCTGTTGCGACATTTGTTCTCTAGTTTGTGCAGCGGCAGCAGGTGCTAAAATTGCGCATTAGTTTAGTCCAAGAATACAAACGTATGACTGTGCAAGTTTTAAGTAGTGCATAGCAAAGTTCTAGCCGTATGAATGACCGAGTGAAAAGAATGGTAGATTAATCGCAAAGCAGAAGTCGTTAAGAAAAAAACTAATGTATGTGAGATGACAGCGCGCAAAACACATAGTGAAATTATACTCGAGTACATACCTATACCTCTTCTATTACCACCAGCATGAGATGCTCGTGAAGGAGTCCCTTGTTGATAGGAACGGTATTGCGCCTGCATCTTGAGAATTACCAATATAAATTGGCGCTAAGGCGAGTTTCAATAAATGGGGCTAGATAATGTTTAAATTTGAACTTGTGACTTCCCAATTTGTTTCTCGTGTGAAACTGTTGATGCAGAATTGTGGTTTGGTTTAATATTGACAGTCGCGTTTGAATTGGATGCGATTCGCGAAAGGCTGACAAGTTATTGGAATATCACGCTAGTCTTAACTTGGCTTAGATCAATTCACCTCAAATATCAGCCTTTTCCTTTTCCTTTTCCTTTTCCTTCTCCTCCAATGCAAAACAGAATTCATATTAACAACTATCTCTGAACATACTACGTAGTATTCCATTCGATTTGATCCTTTATTTGAGACTTCATGATATTTGTAATTTATAAAGGTCCACGATTTAAAACGCCTTTGCTGTTTACAGTGATGATTGCTCCCTTGTTCCATTCATTCAAAAACCTTAATGCTCCCAACTCCAATTATGATTATGCTCATGTCGTATCCAGCCATCAGTGCCCGCCCATATGTCTCATCTCATCACTGTCTATCAACTTCTCTATCTTTCTCTCCCTTTAACGTCCCATTAATAGTGCAGGCTTTTGTGCCGGCTCAACAGGTTGTGGTGGCATTCTCTCTATCTGTTTGATCAAGAACTCCCTCTCATCAATGAATTGTTCATCCTCTGTACGATCTTCTAAGAAATGTTTCAAGAAATTCAACAATCTTTCTCGATTATTGAGCAGTATTCTCTGTACAGCCATGGATTTATGTGGATTCGCCACAAAGACTTTAAAAACATGAAATCCTTCATACTGTACCATCTTTCTCTCATCCCGAAGAAGATTCATGCATATCTTTAAATGCTCTCCTCGATCAACATATGCTGTCATAACTGTATAGTTGGCTCGATCCAAAAGAATCTCACCCAAAAGTTTTATTGACTGTCTTTTGGTAACATAACTTGCTGATTGGACTAAAATATTGTTGTACTTATCGAAAAACAGGTCGAAATTGGTAGCCAAATACTGTGCTACAATTTGTTTGTGCTTGGTTAAAAGTTCCTGTGCCTGCATTAGCTTTATTAATTCCAACATGGCCGCATTGCCTACCCTAAAAGTTGTGAAAGCATCTGCTCCAACCTCGAACGATCCTTGGTCAATCCAATTAAAGAATTTCCAAAACACTCCCTCTCCACTCTGCTTGATTTCTGGTTGTATAGCAGTCAACCCTTTTGTGCTAACATCTCCTTCCTTAACATCATTGTACAAAATGATGGCTGCTGCAGCATCACTCTTCAAAACCTCTCGGAGAACTGTCCCAGCAGGTGTAGCACTTTCCTTATGCTCGTAACCGTTACATAGCTCAACCAATACCTCCGGTCTATTATTTATAACATAACTAAGCGCCATCGGTTCGCTCTTCGGCGATGCTGTCGCGGGACGGAACCGTAGGACGTAAGAGAATATAACCTGTGCATCTTTTCTCGATTCGAAAGGGAGACGGTATAGATTTACGGCAAGGAGGTAAAGTAGATCTTCCTGAATCATTCCGGTTACAAGCTGGTGGACTTGCTCGGGGGTGCTTTCAATTTCTAAGGAGTAGTCAGTAAGTGACAATAAATTAAATTGTTTGCATAAATTACCCTGTGTCCCTTGCAAAATGAACTTCATCTGAGATAGAGCCTTCGCCAGCTCCTCCGCCTGTCCATTCGTCAGCTCATCCATAATTCACTCCCCCTTCCAATGCGCCTAAAGTATACCTTTGCAGCTCCTCCAGGGCCATCGAGCTTCAGTATCAAGTCCTTGGCCTGCTTTGATAAATCCACCGTGTTTGGGCGAGGCCTTCGCCCGAATAAAAAAGACATCTTCGTGCTCGAGGTCGACTTGTTTGTGGTTATCTTCAGCTTCTCTTCAGGTGTTTACGGTGGCTGATCAAAGTTCGATGTGCTGGCATTCAACAAGGATTTTCCGTATAACTTGTGAAATTGGCATGAGCATGAATGAGATCATCTGTCAATAGCATGTCAATTATAATATGTACTTGAAAGCCGTAGTTGGGTTTGTATGTTATCATAATATGATTTCATCCCAGGACCTTCCTTCCACTTCCTATGAACCTTACAGGAGTGTCTATTAATATTGAGGAGTTTAACCGAGGTTTAACCGCACCACCCTGGTCGATTTCCCCAGCAACCAAAAGTTCCATCGTCGAGATTTTGTTAAGAGAGATATGAGCCTTCAAAATGTAGGTATCCTTATATTTTCTTCTACTCAACCTCTTCTTGAGATGAAAAATGTTGAATTCGCATGCTAAACATATTCATATCTGGTAATTCATAACTTACCTGCCTCATCCTCACTCCTTTGCATTGCATTGCCACCTTCATGCTCAATTCTTATCGTATAAAGGCACGTGCTGATAGTGAATGATTAAAAAAAAAATCCATATCCCACATGGAAAAAAACTAGATATTTTCCTAGTTGATTGGAATTGAAGATTTGCATTTGATATTTCGCTATTTTACCAAAGTCGGCATTATTGTTATCTTCTAACGAAAGCCTGAAAGCTCTGTATCGAATCATACAAAATGTCTAGTCAAGTCCCAGATATCGAGAAATATGCTCCATCTGATTCCGGTAGTTCTGAGGCATCTGATATCCTTGATTTGAAGGATGATGAAGGATGGGAAGATGCTGAGCCTGAGGAGGAAGAACAAAATCAATTTGTATCATTATTAGATGATGAAGTCTTCTCCGATATGCTTGCAATGATTCAACATTGCAAGGAGAAATACGGCTTTGATTTTCTAGAAGTCAGACAAAACCTAGGCCTGGACTTCTACGGCAGTATCAAACTTACCAATTACCTAAGATCCAAAACTCAAAATGGTGAAAAGCCTTCTCAAAGTATTTCCAAGGCCGACTTAGAAGATGAAAAATACCTTAAACCAGTTTTGGAGGATGATGCTTTTCTTTTCTGCCTTGATGACCTTCCTGATGTCGTCGAACAAAATAACGCCGCAGGAAATGGCAATGAGGTCGAATCTGGACCTCTCGTTACGCGGGTATCTGAATTAGAAGAAGAGCTCAGAAGGATTCAATCGCAATTTGAAAATTACAGAAACACTGTCAATGAAACTCTGGATGAGCGCTGGAACAAATCTGCAGGCCCATCCGCAACCAAAAAGGAAGAAAAGCGAGATGATGATAGCCATTACTTTACTTCTTATTCATACAACGGTCAGATATCTGCCACCTTCAATAAGACCTGACTAACGCCTTTTAGATATTCATGAGACTATGTTGAAAGATACTGTTCGCACTGATGCCTATCGTGACTTCATCTATAATAACAAGTCTCTCTTCGCAGGAAAAACTGTTTTAGATGTAGGCTGCGGCACAGGTATTCTCAGTATGTTCTGTGCCAAAGCTGGTGCAGCTCGAGTGATTGGCGTTGATAATTCGGACATCATTGAGAAAGCCCGTGAGAACATTTTCAACAACGGCTTCGCGGATAAAATCACTTTACTCAAGGGTAAAGTCGAAGAAGTCAATCTCCCTGTTGAACATGTGGACATTATCGTTAGCGAATGGATGGGTTATTGCTTGTTGTATGAAGCCATGCTCGACAGTGTCATCTGGGCTCGAGACAAGTACCTGAAGCCTGATGGATTAATGGTTCCAAGTCACATGAACATGTGGGTTGCTCCTGTGGCTGATCCGGATTATGTGGCCGACCACATTGATTTCTGGAGAGACGTTTATGGATTCGACATGAAAGCAATGCAAGCTGGAATCCATGAGGATGCTCAAGTCCTTGATATGCCAGCTAGCACGATCTGTGGCGAACCGGTTCCATTCTTGCAATTAAGCTTGCACACAACCACTGTTAAAGATCTCACTTTCAGGAGAAAGTGGGAAACAAAGCTTACTCAAGACATCGATGCATTAGATGGCTTCATGATTTGGTTCGATAGCTTCTTCTTACCCATGCGAACGGATGAAGTTCCGGTAAATGCAAAGGCCGAGGAGTGGGCAAAAGAGGGGAAGAAGGGAGTAGCATTCACAACTGGTCCTAAAGCCAAGGTGACACATTGGAAACAAGGTGTCTTGCTCATCGACAATATCAAAGAACAATCGAAGGAGCATAAAGTAGGCGAAGAGATTAGTGGAGAGTTAGAATATCTGGTTGCAGATGATTATTCAAGAGCTCTGACTATTGGTGTGGACTGGAAGTTCAATGGGGAGGAGGCTGTCAATTCTCAAACATGGAAAATGAGATGATTTGTTTTGTTGGCAGATGTGAATGGGGAAATGCAGTGTTGAGCCATAGGGTATTATGGACCGTTCGCAATGAGGTAGATATTGTTATATGCGAAGAGGTTAGTCATTACATGTATGGCTTTCGCCGGAGTAGAAACTTGATACCTGTCGGAACTATTTAGCACATTCTGTGCTCGTAGTCCAAATAAGCTAGAACCCCAAAATGATCTACATTACTTGGTGTGACCTGTGAACCTTGATCTAACCTTGCATCTTTCGTTACCGAAATATTAAACATTAATCTTATGTATTGCATCTTCAACTTCTTTCGGGGATCTCTTGGTAGTTTCCTGTCAACGAATCATTTTGATTAGTCATTGCAACTCGACATTTGCTAAAATCTATCCTGGTGTGCTGGAACTCCGTCGGAGATATCTTGGAGATAAGCTTCAGTCTAAACTCAGTTAGGAAATATTGCTCATGACGAAATATGATGCTTATCTCACGGAGTAATCGTGCATCCCAGCATTGGTCAGCGCAAAGGCATCAATCATGACCTTTTAAGTGACAAATTGATAAATGACCACCCGACCATAACTGTACTATTCAATTGTCCCGTCTAATGTCATCTTTAAGACGACAGTAATATCGCTTCCATGTATATATATCTATCAACTGATTCATTTCATCAAGATTTTAGACTTCACAACAACAATGGCGCCCGATAGAGGCACGACGCAGTCTCCCGTCGACTACCAATCAATATCCACCCGCACATCTGAAGACGATGATCTTGCATTGCGGCGGAGACGTAGCGAGCAACGAAGATTTATAGCTGCTCATGCGGGAGAAGGGCAGAATTTCACAGTACGGGGAATACTCGTTGGACTAGGCGTCGGATTGATAATATGTTTTTCCAATATGTATTTTGGTCTGCAGACAGGCTGGGTCTCTTCTATGGCTATGCCCGCTTCCCTTATTGGATTTGCATTCTTCAAGACCTTATCGAAACATCTTGATTTACCATTTACTCCGGTGGAAAATGTCTTGGTGCAGACGGTAGCTGGATCAATGGGAACGATGCCTTTGGGGTGCGGATTTGTTGGTGTAATGCCAGCGTTGAATTATATGTTGAAATCAGAAGAGCAAGGGCCGATATTCTTGAGTACTTGGAAACTTATACTTTGGTCATTGGGGTTATGCTTTTTCGGGGTGGTATTCGCAGTTCCATTGAGACGACAGGTTATCATTAGGGAGAAATTGAAGTTTCCATCTGGGACAGCGACTGCGTTGATGATTGGCGTTTTACATGGAAAGGAGACTACTGAAAAGCGAACCACCCATCTCGACTTCCGGGAACGTTGATGATTTAGCGGAAAGCGAGTACTATGAAATTATACAGATGAGACT